CAAAATACAATTCCACCGCTAGATTGCAGAAATTTCTACACAATGTACCTTTAAAGTGAACAGAACAACGTCCGCCTCCAGAAGAAGTTACAGAGTACTTCAGTAAATGTACTTCGTTACTCTGTGTGTCTGGGACTCACCGGGCTCCTCCGGTCCTCTCTCGGCCGCTCTGGACGCTTCGTACGCGGTGAAGATGTGTTGTACGGCGGCGTTGATCCGCTGCTCCACCCGCTCCCGCAGCTGCTCCACCGCCGCCTGATGACGCTCCTCCAGCAGACAGAAGATTTCCTCCGCCGCCGCCGCGAGCTGCCGGTCGATGACCGCGCGCAGGCTGCGGCTCGCGCTGCTCTTCGACCGATTTTTGGACATTTTGGCGGAATTTCCTCCGAACAAAGACAGGATGTAAACAATGTGAGCACGCTTCCGGGTTCCCAAAGCAGCGTCCTTACGTCAGACGCTGACGTTTCCTCACGCTCTGATGTTACGTCATGTGCTGCGTCAGCGGGCACGTGGCTCCAGGGTTGTGAGCGTGCTGCTGCGCGTGAAGACACTCGTTGATTCAGCGGGTTTTTGTCTGTTTTTCGGGTTTTTACAAAGTTTTTAACGTGTTACTTCACACGAATACTTCACTGCTACAGCAGGTACGAACTTAAACCAAACTCTATTTAAAAATTTGTCTGTTTAATGTTTCCTTCCTAATCTATAGAGATACACAACCTCAGACACATTCATTACTTTACATTGGGAAACACAATTGTCTTTCTATGAATTCGGCCGTTAATTAAAACACCAATAAGCACTAAGTTGTCATACATTTGTACTTTTTTGGACGTTATTGACGCTGCTCGCTACTGGTAATTACAATATAACCAACATCAGATAAAGTACAATATTTACCTCGTGTAGCAGAAGTAAGTCAATTAAGGACAGAATTGTAAACCAAAATCTGTCTGGTTAATGTTTCCTTCCTAATCTATAGAGATACACAATGTGTCTGAGGTAAAACTGCGATATTAATATTAGTTGACTGAAATTAGGTGATAATAAAGTGATATAGTAGTTTATAGAGAGTTGAGCCGAACCTAAATGAACTTCTGTTAGTTGGACTTTGTTGAGAGGATGGGCTAAAGATTATATAAATAAGTGTCCACTAAGAATAAGTTTGTATTTTAAGATAAATGGTCATAAGTTAGTCAAATAAATCGCTGAATCAGTCGGATAAATTGAAATAAAAGTGTTAATTTAGTTCAAACTGGTGCATCTATTTTCAAAAGAGTGAGGTATCCTTAAATCAGTAGATTTCTGACTGGAGTTTGGTGTGATTGTTGTTTGTGATGATTCAGGTGAACAGACTTCAGCTGAGATGCCTCATGATAAAAAGAAGAAGAAGAAGACCGGGGTACCGGACCGGTGGCTGGACTACCGTCCTGTAGGACAGAGGATACCTGGAACTCGATTCATCGCCTTCAAGGTGCCGTTAAAACCATCTCTGAACCGCCAAGTCCCTGAGTCGAAGTTTGGCCTCTGGGACCTGCTGGACCACCTGCAGAGCCAGAACCAGGAGCTGGGTCTGATTATCGACCTGACCTTCACCACGAGGTACTACGGACTGTCGGACGTTCCGCAGTCCTGGTCTTACGTCAAGATCCTCACCAAGGGACGCCACGTTCCCTCTGATGCCACCATTCTGAGCTTCAAACGGGCGGTGAGACAGTTCCTGAAAGAGAACCGGGACAACGACAAGCTGATCGGGGTCCACTGCACCCACGGCCTGAACCGCACCGGGTACCTGGTCTGCAGGTACCTCATAGACGTGGAAGGGATGGACGCTGCGACGGCGCTGGAGCTCTTTAACTCCTGCAGAGGTCACCACATTGAGAGGCAGAACTACCTGAACGACCTGCGGCGAGGAGCCAAGAGGAGCAATGCCGGCATCAACGAGCCAGAGGAGGAAGCGGCCAGAGGGCTCGCTGCAGAGAGACCGCCGCGGACTAGAACCACTGAGGGCGAGAGACCGCCGCAG